CTTAGCAGCCTCCTCTAACTCCCTCTTCGCCTAAAGGGAGAGCGCGTTGGAAAGTTTGAGATTTTTGTGAGGATTGTCTATAGGGAAGTGAATGCTTGACACATGCTCAATGATATGCATGATATAGGGAGCATAGGGGTACTGCTTCACCACATCCTCACTAGCATAAAAAATCTTCATCCAAATGTACCGGCTAATAGAGAACTTGGTGAACTCATCGCCAAAACAGTCAAGAACAACCTAGGAGTCATCACGAAGATGAGTAGAGTCACTACATTTGGGGTACAAGATCTGACAAAGAATGTTGTTGAGCACATAGTAGTAGGGCTTCAACCAAACTATCTGCCCATTTGCACGATGACCATCCAAATACATGTACTGATACTCATCCATAGCAAGAGGAGCAATCTCAAGAATAGTTGTCAAGTGGTGATCCTTGCTATCCAAACCAAGAAGGCGAGCAAAGGTAGGAAAGTCAACCTTGTAGTGCTTCCCTTCAGAGGTCTAATGAATGACATGAGTATCTTCACGAGTGTCCAAATGATAGGAGGCATAGAACTGACAAATAATCTTGTTATTCCACGGCTTGCGAAACTCCATCCGCTGCTATAACCCCATCCTCTTCAAGTCATGGAACATCTGCTTAAGCTCCAAACCAGGCAACTTACCAAGTTTATAGGTGTCAATGGACTTCATCTGAACCACTGGAGCCTCTTGCTTATTGATGTAGCAGAGATAGACCAAATGGTGATAGAAGTCAAAGTGAAATGGTTCCTAGAACCTATACTCAATCCTCAAGTCCTTGGGCTCATCATAGAGAGGTTGGGCACGTCGATGACGAATCTCAGACACATGGCAATGATAACCCACCATCAGATGAGGCGTGTAACCACCAGCTAGATTGGGTGTGCGCTGAGGCTCCCGAATGGATGGAGTAGGACCTTGAAATGGAACCAACCAAGCTGACCCCAAAGTAGCCTAGACCAGAAGGCGGGGTCATGGTGCACATATCATCAGCGATAGTCCTTCCAGCTTGATCAAGGGCTTCTTCAGCAGGATCAATAGCTAGCACATCTCCAAGGCCAGGGACAAACTCCCGGGCTACAACACCAACAAGCGGAGGAGGACCGGCTGGAGCTTGAGCATGAGCTTGAGCACCCCGAGCGCGAGAGGCGTGGCCACACGACCACGAGCACCAGCAGCATCACGAGGGCATGACACCTTGGTGCGTCTAGTTAGCCAAGAGGATTCGGTGGGGTCTTGGTTGTGCTTGGAGTGCTTCTCATGGTGGGGAGGAGGGCTCGCATCACTATCGGACGCCATGACTACGAGAAACATGAAATAGAACTAAGAAACACAGCAAAGAAGGGTGAACGAACATCTAGAAGTAAAGAAACATGAATGGAGTAACAACTACGGAGTCAGGAGTTCTAGCATTAGTCAGGAGTCTCGGTAGTCGAGAGTTCTGGCAGGGAGCCAGGACTTCAGACGGTCGAGACCTCTGGTAGGTGCCGGGACTTTCGACGCACAAAGTGGTGAATCCATTCATGGGGCTTCAAATTGAGACACACATCCACACAAGGTAGAGGAGTAGAGAGGGAAGAAGAATAGAGGCATAAACCAAGGTACATTGGAAGTTAGTGTTAGGATTACACGGCTAAAAGGTCCTTATTTGGTCTTAGTAATTGAGTGACAACCTTAGGTGGACTAATATGTGTTTGAGTGAGATACACTGGTGATTAGTCCACAGGTACTTGTGTGAGCAACTCATGCCACGACAGTGAAGATGGCTTGGATTTGTTGCAAGGCTCACACATATGATGAAGGAGCTCATTGCATATGAGACATGACATGGAGTCATGTGACTAAGGTGGAGAAGATCAGGACAAGACTTGGCTCGATGTACTGGTTGCAAGTGTGAAGGGCAAGTTGAGTGATGACTTAGTGCCGATGGACCGAAGCAACGGTGAAGAGCAAATGAAGTCAAGATCGATAAACCAATATGGTCATATGATGATATGGAGTGGATCATATCATTGTTGATCATGTTGGTGCATGTGTTGCATCGACATTGGAGGAGATGAAATGGAATGCATAAGACAAAGGTATAACTTAGGCCATTTCATTTCACCAGTTATAGGTGTGTAGAGAAGTTGATGAGTGGGTTTAGGATAGATGGCCGTACTATCAAGAGGGGCAAACTTGTTTGCATATCGGTCATCTAGTGCCACTTGAGCGATCTAACTTTGTATACGTGTTAGGATCGAGTGGCGTGGTGAATTGAGTGATTAACTCCTTAAAAATAATTGTGAAAATGCTAACATACATACACATGGTGGTGTACACTTGGTGGTGTTGGCACATTTATAAAGGAGAAGAAGTTGGAGTTGAAACGGATCAACTCAGCGAAGAAACGGAGACGAAATAGGTCACTATGAGTGACCGAACGTTGGCCTCGGGAGGACCTACGCGTCAGGTTAGTGTAAGCTGAGAGGCGCGGTCTCGGTATTGATGACCGGACGCTGGTACCTGGTGGTGACCTGACGCGTAGTGGCCGCATCTGGTCGTGTCTGACGTATGGTGACGTAAGCAGCTGGGAGAGCGAAGTGAAGACCTGATGCTGGCGTGCGTCCGGTCGTGGCGCACCTGATGCATCAGGTCATCAAAGTCCTGCTCGGGGAGCTTACTGGAAATGACCTGACGCGCGACGGCGCAGCGTTAGGTGTTCCAGCGGCATGTCCGGTCGTTCCTTGGTGGTGCACAGGATTGAGTTGACCTGACGCGGTGCGGGCGAGTCAGGTCATCGCAGCGGTGCGATCGGTCGTCTTGTGACCGATGGCGCGATGTCAGTGACCGTTGAGATTGGGTGGCTCCGATTGAATGGTGGATGACACATGGACAACGTAGAATGACCAGATGCTGGGCCGGCGTGTCAGGTCATCATGACCGGCGCATCCGGTCGCTGCGAGTTGTGCCTAGTGAAGGGGTACAACGGCTCTTTTCTTGTGGGGGCTATGAAACCAAGCATTGGTCGGCCTTGGGCGATAGTAGCTGAGCACCCTTGAGCCTTGGTGGTTGTGTAGGTGTGCTTGGAAGCCCTCTAACTCATTTGAGCTTGATAGTGATCATCCGATCGAATGAGTGAGTGATTCTAGTGAGATTGCATAGTGAGGTTGCATCAAGTGGCGCTAGGTGATCGTGTTGCAAGCCGGTGGTGCTTGTTACTCTAGGAGGTTGCCACCTCCTAAATGGCTTGGTGGCTTGTGACTCCGTTGAAGCACGTGAGAAGATTATGAGGTGCTCGGAGGAGGATTTGTGAGGGGGATTATGCTCACTCCGCGGGGATCGCGAAGGACAACTCTAGTTGAGCGTGTCATTGAGCTACCCTCACTTTCGGGGAGGTTCTTGTGGTGCCCGACATACGGGCTTGACGGGTGAGGCCAATTAGTCGCCGAACCACTAAGTGAGTGGTCGACACAACGGGGACGTACCTTGGTGGCAATCAAGTGAATCTCAGAAGAAAATCACCGTGTCAATATTATCTTCATCATCTTCTCGGTGGTTTGCTTTCCGCGAAACACAAACTTGTATTACTTTTATTTACATCGTGCTTGTGTAGTTGCTCTTGTGACTAGCTTAGCTTTAGTAGCTTGCTAATTGCCTTCTTGATTGTGTAGTATAGAAGTAGCTCCCTTGCGTGGCTAATTTGGTTTTAGTAACCTTGTTAGTCACATTGTTTAGTTTGTGTAGCTAAGTAATTTGCGTTATCTAATTTGGCTTGTGTAGCCTTGTTATTGATCATTGCTAGTGAGCTTAGCTTTTTATGCTTTTGCTTCACTAGTTGTGTAAGAGCTCTTTCGGTTGTGTGAAGTACTAGTACATAGGTTTGTGTGACCTTACTCTAGAATTGATTAGGTGGGTTCTAGCTAGCTCGTCACGTGGGGCTGCTGCGCTGCGGCAAGAGCTGCAGGATCCATACCTCAGGCCGGACATCAAGCGTGGGCCCATCGCCGCCGATGAGGAAGACCTCATCCTCCGTCTCCACCGCCTGTTCAGCAGCGGAATTAGATTGTCACTGCCTACGATGAAAGATGGGGACAGAAGGCCTAAGTTTGACTAGTCGTCCTTATTTAAAAAATCGATGCAAACATAGTTAAATTTAAGTTATTTTTGAAGAACTTTTGTTAATAAACCACAATAAAAATGATATTTTGTATAATTTTTAAATAATACGAGTGATTAAATTTAGGGTAAAAATCATAATTTGGAACAAATTTAGTAGAATAGAAAGATCGCGATAAGAACCTCTGCTTGTGCCCCACCCCTAGCCCTGGGCAAATTTAACCGAGAACCGAAAAAACCAAACCAAAATCGAAAAGAACGGAACCGAAAAATTCGGTTCCTGATATGAGGAACCGAAATAACCGAAGAAAATTCGGTTCCTACTCTCTTGGTTAACCGAAAGAACCGAATTACATGAATTATACTTCACTTACTTGTATTTTGTAGGATTATGTTTAGTTTATGTGTAGTGTTTTATATTTAAACTGCTATATATTTGTGTTACTATATTACTATTGTTTTTTATATATATTATTATTATTAAAAATAAATATAGTGTTGTATAAATTTACCTTAGAACAAGTATATTTATTATTGTCTTGAGTCTTCTGAAAAAATTTGATTAATTCGGTTAGAACCGAAACCGAACTAAAATAATCGAGAACCGAAATACTCGGTTTCTAAATTTTTTTTGAACTGATCGGTTCTCGTTTTCTAAGACCGAATTTCATCCATAACCGAGGAACCGAACGGCACCCTGACCCACCCCTACGGAAACTATTGCTGCTCGTGTCAGTCCTGACGTCGCTCTCGTCGATGTCACTCGGCAGTCAAGGCATATCTACCGTTCACTACCATCCAACGGTTCAGCCGAGCAGATCAGCCCAGCGGTCCACACGGGGAGGCAGTCAAGAGGCCCATAAAGCCCGCGATAGGGGATGCTCGACCACGCTGTTTTCTCCGCCGCCGCTGTCTTTCTCGGCGACTCGTTCCTTCCCGCCGGTGATGTCTTCCTCGTTGCGCCTTCCCGACTAAATCTCTCCTGCGACCTTGTGCCCCCGGCTTCCTCCCCTTCCTGCTGCCTCGGCGTCCGGACGTCGACGTCGTCCCAGAGGCATTCCTCGCCTCGTCTGCTGGCCACGCGGCTGCCGGCATTGCGCTCGCGGTCGTGCCATGTCCGGGCACTGCTCGTAGGTAAGGTCAGCGTTCCTTTGCCGGCGTGCAGCTCCAGATGCTGCCCCCAACGCTCGAGCTCCAGTTGCAGTTGAAGGCTTGAGATTCAGTAGCGAGCTCCAGTTCTTCTATTTTTTTTAACGAATGACAGGAGCTCTGTCTTTCAATTAAGAAGAATATAATTGACCTAGTTTAAGCTCCAGTTCTATTTAGCAGGTTGCAGGAAATCGATTCAGTATTTCAGTAGCGAGCTCCAATTCCATACAGCAGGTTGCAGGAAATCTGTATGCGAAGGAAAGCTGTAGTCCACTGGAATATAAAATAAGGCATTGTTGCTTTTTTAAACATCAGAGGGTACACAATATGTTTCTCTTGCTGGCAGTATCAAATTACACAATGTGATGCATTCATATGATCTGCTCAAGGTGACTGTACACTTACAACCATATAACCAAAAGCTATTCTCCAAAAACAACCCCTATCACCAGAAATCAGCATTAAGATCACGGGTGGTTGATGTCTGCAGAACAAAAGAACAAAATATGAAGCTCTCTGTGCATATCAGGACAAGAAAAATCATCATTTACAAATATTACCATTACTAGTTGAGAGAAAGTATTGATGCTCAAGTATGGTTCAGACATCCATTCATTGGGACAGGAAGTGCTAGGAGGGATATCCTGTACTGTTGTCCAATCATAGAATGCCGCTTCTGTAGTTTCTTGTGCCATCTAATAAAAGAGAATCAAATAATTACATACAACTGAATTTTTTACCAATCAATACAATTAAATAGAATATACATTTTTATGTGTTGTACATACCTCTGAAACCTTTTCTTTTTTCTTGCACTTGGCAGGTTACGGCCCAGAGGAGGCCCCAATGGCCGAACAAAAACGAGAGAAGGAATGATGCCAAACACCAGCGATCTCCTAAAAATGAGGGAGGAGATGATCGGTGGTGCTGCATGCGAGCTCGTCTGATACCAGAGGGGCGGGGGCAGCATGACCACACGGAGGATCTGTAGGCGAATTTAGCAGCTATATATGCCTGCATCCAGTTAGTGCTACCCTGATCTTCTGGTTTAGTAAATCATTGCTTGGACCTAGTGTGTGTGCTTTTAATCCTGTGCATCCAGTCCTCACTGTAGCAATGCGGTTTTGCATTTGGGCTCAGTAGAGAGTATATATTGTCGAGGCTCGTTTTTATATTTTTATAGTTTAATTATTCACTTAGTAATGCATTTCAATATGGTCCCATCACCTACCACATAATTTTCGTTTCGACTTCTAAAACTACGAACGATAGGATTCTGACCAAATAGTATACTTGTATAATTGCACAAACGATATAAAGATATCATTCTATTCAGATTTTGAGTGGAGCTCTACTAGTGAAGCATAGGCTCCACCCTTGATGCACATTAGTGCTTCATGCCTTCCCTTCTCTACAACCTTGCCTTCCTTGAGGACTGCAATCATGTCAGCCCCTTTGATCGTGGAGAGGCGGTGTGCTACCACAATGGTGGTGCGGCTGACCATGACTCGGTCCAATGCGTCTTGAACAATGCGCTCTGATTCAGCATCGAGGGCACTGGTTGCCTCATCAAGGAGTAGTATCTTTGGATCCTTGATTATGGCCCTTGCAATAGCTACCCGTTGTTTCTGCCCACCAGACAGCTGAATTCCTTTCTCACCTACCACAGTGTCATATCCTTCAGGCAGGCTTGATATGAACTCATGGGCATTGGCTGCCTTGGCTACAGCCATGACCTCTTCCTCTGTTACATCACCATGTTTCCCATATGTTATGTTGGCATGAATTGTGTCATTGAACAGCAGTGGCTCCTGGCCTACCTGCCCCATTTGATCCCTTAGCCAGCTTACTTTTAAGCTCTTAATTTCAACGCCATCTAGTGTAATTCTACCGGAATCAGGATCATAGAAACGCTCCAGTAAAGCAATTATTGTGGACTTGCCACTACCGCTCTCTCCAACAAGTGCCACTGTCTGCAAAAGGAAGGAAAATATTGCATTACAACTGTTCCAGTGCTGGGGTAACGCTAGGTGTGAAATAAAGAACCTGAAAGTTGCATATATTACGTCACTAGAACTAGATAGATTGCATCCAATTATTTGGGGCAATACTACTTCAAGGAAATGAACAGGGGACTATGTGGTTGCAAGTTCAACTATACCTTTCCGGAAGAAATCTGCAAGGTAAAGTCACTGAATATCTGGACATCAGGGCGTGAAGGGTATTTGAAACTGACATTGTTGAAATTGATGTTGCCAGTGACATTCTCCAGTGTCATCCCATCGTCACTGCTTGAGTCAGTTTTTGACTTCCTATCCAGAATACTGAAAATGGAAATAGCTGAATCCCTTGCCTTGGTTGCATCTGAGGCCAGTGCACTCGCCTGTGAAACCCCAACAGCTGCCAAAACCAAGGCAAAGAAAACCTGGAAAACATCATCAGTGTGTGAATAATTGATAATAGCAATATTTTTTGCACCAAATGGTGACTTGAAATTAGTAGAATTTTTACCCTAAAAACATCTGGGAATGTAGTTTTTCCTTGACGTACAAATTGTGCACCAACATAGAAACAAAGGCCATACGTGAAATACAAAATTAAGAACGAGAAGCCATAGCCAAGTCCTCCAACAATTCCACTTCGAATTCCCTGTTTCCTAAGAGCTTCACATTTCTCATTGTATGTTGTGACTACTCTTTTCTCGGCACAGAAAGATGCTACAGTTCTGATACTACCGACAGCATCTGTTGCAACTTGACTTGCATCTTCATACATCTCCTGCATAATAAGATCACATTGTCATGATAGGCAACTCAAGTATCATTAGGAAATATAATACTCGATAAAACAGAAAATTATTTCTACAGTTGTCATTCATCACCTTAGCATCTTCACTAAACCCCTTCAAGAACTTCACTTGAGCATAACCCTGTGCACCCACCAAAGGAATCACACATGTGATGATCAGTGCAAGCCTCCAGTCTGCCGCAAAAGCTATGACAAATCCAGTTGTTAATGAAGCTATAGACTGCACTATAAGGGCCAAGTTATCTCCTGCTAAGCGCCGGACATTTAATGCATCAACTGAGAGCCTTGTACCAAGTGCCCCACTGCAATTGACAAGCATTAGTATTGGTGTAGACTATATATGCTTTAGAAAAGATAAGAATAAAAATCAAATGTTAAAATACCTGGAATTTGAGGCATTATCAAACCAAGCAACTTCTTGGTGCACAATGCTTTGAAATGACAAAGTACGAATACGCTCTATAAGCTTTCCTCCAGCAACCGCGAACAAAAAATATTCTGCTGGAATTGAAATCAAACTTGCAACTCCCAGAACGACAGATATCAATGCCCAAAAGCTAGTATCCTTTCTGAGCTTATCTGGTGGTTCATAGAACGATTTTATAACACCAGACATTAATATACCGAATAATGGGAAAATAACTCCATGCACTGTTGCTGCTATAGAGCCTAACAGAAGAATTGGCACTTCTGGCACATTAAGCTTAAAAAGACGCCCAATTGGTGCTTTCTTAAGCACCACAACATCAGAGAGCTCTTCTGTTTTCTGTTCACCTGTGATCTGATGTTCATGCAACTCAACTGACAATCCTATGGGGTTCTTGAAGGAATATCTGTTGCTATTACCAAAAGAATCTTTATTGATTGACCGTCTAAGTGACAAACTGGTGCTTTTTGATCTAGAATCTGACACCCCAGAGTCTGCTATTTTATTCCTTCCATCGGCATGAGTCTCTTGTAACCTTATAAGCTGGGAGTAAGCCCCATTAGGATCCTTCACCAGTGCATCATGAGGACCTGAAGATATAATATGTTTGTGAGACAAATGAATTATCTGAAATTGAGAAAGGAGACGTTTAGAAAGGAAAAATAGTAATTACAAGAATCAAACCTTGTTCAACTATTTTCCCATGTCGAACGACAGTTATGCAGTCAACATTCCTTACGGTGCTCAGACGATGAGCGACAACGAGTGTGGTTCTTTCCACCATTATCCTATTCAGTGCCTCTTGAACTATCCGCTCAGATTCCATGTCCAGTGCACTTGTTGCTTCATCAAGCAATAGTATTTTTGGATCTTTAAGGATGGCTCTTGCAATTGCAATCCTTTGCTTTTGTCCTCCAGAAAGCTGTGCACCACGTTGCCCAACCAATGTATCGTAGCCCTGGTATGCCATGAAAACATCGTTAGCTGCTTATTACCATAACTTAAAGTGTCAAGAAATTATTGAAAATATTCATAAAAAAATCTCCCGTACATTTGGTAACTTATCAACGAAATTTGCTGCATTTGCAAGCTCAGCTGCTCTCTTGATCTCTTCAAGTGTCGCGTCTTCTTTACCATACATTATGTTATCTTTAATGGAGGTCATGAAGAGCAATGGTTCTTGACTGACGAGACCGATCTTTTCTCTTATCCAACTAAGCCTTAGATTCTTGATATTAATGCCGTCTATCAAAACTTCACCAGCCTGTGGATCGTAGAATCGTTCAACTAGGCTGATGACAGTTGACTTGCCACTTCCACTCTCTCCAACTATGGCCATTGTGGTCCCACTGGCTACTTGCAATGACAATCCATCTAATATCAATTGATCAGGTCTTGCAGGGTAGCGAAAGTGAACATCTTTTAGTTCAACATCACCCTTCATATCTTCTAAAACCACACCACTGGTATCACCTGAATCTATCACTGGCTTCCTCTCAATTGTTTCAAACAATCTGTATGCTGCAGATTGACCCTCCGCAATTGCAGAAACAGACGGTGTTGCATTACCTAAAGAACTGTTGCAAGAATTTAATTGTGGAATGTTCATGTCTTATTATACAATATTCAATAAAAAGGGTGTACCCAGTGCACAGAGCTCCCGCTCTGTGCGGGGTCTGGGGAAGGGTGTTAGTGGCAAGCTTTACCCTCGCCTGTGCAATGCGAGGAGACTGCGACTCGAACCCGGGACTTTCCGGTGATCAACTTAAATTAAATGTATCTCGGTATGTGTGCATTCTTGAGGATATCATGAAAGTAGAATTTGCGTGAAGAATTAAGTACAGATCTAGTTGTTTGTGTTCGTTATGTTAGGGTTTCAGACACTCACGTTGCGCCGGTTAACACTGCGAACAAAACTGTGATAATTTTCCCACCAGTGTAGCCTTTGTCAACAATTAGCTTTCCACCGTACCAAAAAGCTAGGCCATAGCTAGAGAACAAGATGCAGAAGACAGATCCCATGCCAAAACCATTGATAAGGCCTTCCAAAATATCAGTCCTGTATGCTTTCTTTATGAATTTTTTGTACATTGCAATGGCTTTGTTCTCTCCGTTGAAGGAAACTACCTATTAAAACAAGACAACTTACTAACTTAATTTCTTGGATAGTAACTGATATACTTTGAAGTAGTTGGAATAATTTGGACTCACTGTTCGTATAGCCCCGATGGTCTGTTCAACTAAGTCCCCAGCATCTCCGTAGGATGTCAGTTTCTTGCTGGAAACCTTTGTTAGAAACTGAGCAGAAACTGCACCGGCGATAGCAATTAGTGGTAGTGATGTTAGCATGACAAGGGTGAGGAGCCAGCCTCTTGTGAATGCTATTACAAAACCACCAAAAAAGGCAGAAGAGAGTTGTACAAGCTTTCCTGCCTGTAAATGATGAGTTAATTTATTCATGAATAGAAGCATTGGTAGCACAAGGTGAGACTTGATGCAGAGTATGAAAATAGACTGTTAGCTAACACAACAAAAACTAATGTCCTTCGTCCATTTTTGATAAAATTGTAACATACATAATAAAATTGGCTGCTGCATCTCATGCTTTTGCAGATCTGGGCATTTTTGTTTGCAATATGTG